ACAGCTGTTTCCCCCCCCCACTGTTCTACTTACCTTGTTTAGTGTCCTTTTTCCATGTGAATTGCGCGTTTGGTGTGCACTGTGCATGCGCGCGCATGCAGCGTGCATTTGGCGTGCACCACACATGTGTGGGCAGCGAATCAGTGGCAAACCACAGAGGATTTCACCACTGGATGGTGAATGGAATTTTATAATGTACAAAAATATAGTATACAAAATGTGTCTGATACATCCAATATCTACTAAACTAAGGTCCATTAAATTGAGACATTTACAGCATTGGCATCTTTAGTAGTAAATCCATGTTGCTTTTTCCGACAGATGACATCTGCAAAGAACAAGGTGCTTACATGGCTGGCTTAGCTCTGAGAACTGAATTCCATAGGCTTTAGAAGAAATGAAACGCCCCGTGGATTCAGTTCTACAGCTAGGCAGCTAATAAACTCCAGAGAGTGATCACAAATGCTTCAGGGTATCATCAAAGAACTTCTGCCAAGAACAGATTTACAAACTCATTCAGTTAAATATTTGCCATCCATCATTCAATTTAAGGATCATTTGTTATTCTTAAAAAGTTAAAACAGTTCTATTTTAAGCAGCTATTCTTACAACCAAAGCCAATCTTTTAAAAGTTTATGATACTTTTTGGCATGAAGGCATGACTCACTAAAGTGCTATAAAGACAGTATCCAAGTAGAAAGGCTGATCTGGCACATTTACATCCAATGTAAATGTGAGCACACACTCTGAGCATGTCACCAGATGCAAGAAATCAGGAACTAGTGTTGTTCAAATGAGTACAAGTTTAATCCATGCTAATTATTACAAGAAACTGAACTAATGATCAAGGCAAATTAGTGATACATAAGGGTCAAAGGAATTCAAGAAAGGCTGGACTTAGATGTCTTGCGGGTGCAAAGGGACTCCAAACTAATGACGTACTTGACTCCTGCCTCAAGTTCAGCCCAGTCATCTCCTACATATACAGTATTCTATTCTGAGCATTTGCTATGTGTATAAGGCATGATTTCCCTCACAAAATATTTGAAGTTGAGCTGTAATTCTTCTTACTGCAACATTTGAGATGTTAAAGACATATAGGAAACTCACACTCCACTGTGCACAAAATGGAAGTAAAATAAATTGCCAATGTCCTTAGCTCTTTGTTATGTGAGTTTATTTGGGTTGTTTTCAAAACAATCTGAGTGATTGCTATGAGGGTAAGATGGCTGCAAATATGCTGTTATTTTGTGGCATTTAAAAGCCTCTTGCAAGTTCCAGTGGTAAAATATTTAGTTAGTTTTTTTAACCCATTCTTTTCCTAATAGCTCTAATTATGTTTAATGTTCCAAACATTACTTATAAGCAGAAACAAATGTCCCAAATCTGGGAATATTCCTTTCCTTATGAAAGAACTGAGCAGATTGAGGCACATTGATCTCCTCACAATGCCTTAGAGGTCTTCTGCAGCTAAGCCAATCTACTTCTGACTCTGGGCTCACCAACCAATATGATTTGGCCCTTTAAATTATTTACATCTTTTTGGAGCAAACAGTACAAAAGTAGATGTGTGAGGGGTCAATAAGTCTCAAACTGCAAATAGCACTATTTCCTTTGGGACTCGATAAAGCCCTGGCTGAGCTAAAGCAAAGGAATTGGGATCTAGATATCCAAAATGACAGTACCGAACTCTGCCATCCCTTTCATAGCACAAACATTCCTCTTTCCTGGTCTGTTCCTAGGTATTTTATGACATCTCATATGTTCCATGACTATTTACTTTGGCACAAATTGGGGTGTACCTATGAAGGCAATAACTGGTAGGTATATAAGCCTCCCATATGAAACTTAAACTTGTTTCTGATCAGACTTGGAGACAGAATGTATCTCATGTGCTATTGTCTGTTTTACAGCCAATGGCAATCAGGTGCAATGCTTCCAATTCTTAATAACTCTCATTGCCATTGTCACCAGGAGACTGATGTTGTTACCTAGTTTGAGTAATGAAACATCTGCAAGAAAACAACCAAGCTCAGAGAGCACCAAGGACCGCTCAGACTGTTACTCTTCTCCTAGGTGCCTACCCTTCAGAGATCTCCAAGGAAGTTGCAGAATTCTTATCTCTTATCTCCTAGGAACTATCCTCCCTCATGCTATTCATTGCTAGTTTTATTTGATCATTGCTAATTGCTTTAGGATTTACTCACAATTTTATATCTATTGTATTGTATGCCAGTCTTTTATTATATTTGGTTTTGGACTATAAATAAATTTTGATTTGGAATCTGACAGAAGGAATTATGGTTGTACTGAGCACAGGTGGGGGAGGATTGCCAAAATAATTACACTGGGAAATGGAAAAGTGATGTTATTCCAGATACAAAGATTTGTAATTTATCTGTGTTGAAATGATATTTTTTACCAGTCAAAAAATGATGCAGCACTACAGGTAATCCTTGTCTTACAACAGTTCGTTTAGTGACCGTTTGAAGTTATAACAACACTGAAAAATGTGACTTATGACAATTTTCCACACTTATCACCATTGCACCATCCCCATGATCACCTGATTCACACATGGCTGCTTGACAACTGGTTCATATTTATGACAGTTGCTGTGTCCCAAGGTCATGTGATCACCTTTTGCGACTTTCTGACAAGCAAAGTTAATGGAGAATCCAGTTTCATTTAACAACTGTATTACTAATTTAACAACTGCAGTGATTCACTTAACAACTGTGACAAGAAAGGTTGTAAAATGGGGCAAAACTCACTTAACAAATGTCTCACTTAGCAACATAAATTCTGGACTCAATTGTGGCTGGTACTCAAAGATAACTGTATATGTTTTTATTTGGTACAAATTTCACCATATTATATGACAGAGCATCATTGTTACATTTTGGGGGGGGAGCAGGGTTAAACCAGTGATTTCTACTGGTACCTATGTGTGCGCGTGGACACACACAGAGAATATTGAGTTTATTTGGGGATCCTTTTTCTTCTGGAGTTTCTAATTTTTAGAAATTCTTTTTTTTGGGGGGGGTTCTTTTTACTTCATTTAATATGATTATTTATATTTTATATTTATTTCCTGTAATTTTGTTATAAAATAAAATATAATGGGCAATCTTCTCCCCCCCCCCACCTCAAAAAAAAAAGAATTTATTTCTGGTTCAGCTGCTTCTCCAATGGAAATGTTGCAAAGATAACGTAACATCACTACCTCTACAGTTGCAAGATTAGCGATTCCATCTTAATGCCCACTTTCTTCCAGTTAGCCAGATTTCATTCTGTGTTCTGGAGTCAAGCATTATATGCTCATCTCTATTGATTCTAAGGTAGTCATTTTGGTTTATTCCTGAAAGTTTGGACTAGGGTTTGGAGTGTCAGAATATCTCTCAGAAGTGGTGAACACTTCAAAAACAGGCTCTGTTATCTGATGATGTGTTTAATCCAAAATTAAAAATAGCAGACAAGTTCTGTTTCATTTTGACAGTAGAAGTAACTAAACAAGTCAGGACCCATTGGTCATGGAAACATCATTTCAGAGTTATTTCCTTATTTAATATTTCTACATGCCCATGCACCCTCAACTCTTGCTTCACCTCACCCACATCCTCATACACCCTCCCCAATTTATACCACACCCACTTCAACCTCCCTGACCTCTGCAGTATCTCATACATTTCTGTGCACCAAGCGTCTTGTACACCCCCTTGCCTCCTTGAGAACTCTCAGAAACTTCACCAGACCTCTTAAACAGACCCTTGCTCCTCCCCCACCCAGCAGCAGCTATTTACCTGCCTTCTGATCTTGGACACGCAACTTTCTGCTAGCTTCCCCACTGACTTGTGGGAGGCTGGCAGGGAGCACCGGAAATGACAATCACATGACCATGGATGACTGGCAGTTTAGCAGCTCTAAAGCAGCTACAACTTTTCCAAATCCAATCCCATGGGAGTAATGGTTTCTGGATTTTGCATGCATTCTTTAATTTAGCCCATTTGAGGTACAGTATACTGGTTGAAAAATTGTTGCCCTGTGATGCACGGTTTCATTCAACTGAAGGTTGTAAACAAACAGGCACAAGAGTTTTAGTGTTATATAGATAAATATCACTGTTTATACTGTCCTCTACTTTACAGGTCTTAAACCTGACCCATCAAGTTTTCCAGAGGATGACGAATGCTGCCATGACTATCATAAGACCAACATTTTTATATCATCTTTATAACTGTTTTATATCACTGTTTATACCGTTTCCCCCAAAATAAGACATCCCCTGATAATAAGCCCAATCAGGCTTTTGAGCGCATGGCAATAAGGCCAAGCGCTTATTTCAGGCTTCAAAAAAATATAAGACAGGGTCTTATTTTTGGGGAAACATGGGTAACTGTTTCTCATTATATCAACAGCCATTATGGCCATCCTTAATGGAGGACTTCCATCAAAAACAGTACTTCATTAGTTCCTGCTTGTCATCTGTATACTGATGCCTCCTATGCATTCAGCCTTAAGTCCCAAGTACACAATATTCTTAACATTTAAATGGGTTCAATCCACAGATGTTTCAACTCTACTCAGAGTCTAATATACAATCCAGTTTTAACAGGATTCGTGGGCCTGTGAAACTTCATAGACCTGGCTATTTATACTGAAAACTAGGTATCACTTCATTCAGCACCATGGCCAGTTTATGTGGTACCTCTCTGTTCCAGAGTGCTTAACACTTAAACTCTGGAAACACTGCTTAACAGGAAGAATAGTTTGATAATGGAACCCCTTACTAAATATGATCAAGTGGAAGATAGCCAGCAATTGGTCAATTTAACTTTGACCCAATAGACTAAATATGTTTCCAATTCCAAGATCAAAAATAATAAAAAGAAAATCAAAATGATTTGACTTTTGCCTCAAAGTCCATAATGCCTGATGAAATAATATTTATTCAAAAAAAATATAGTTTTACCATTATAAAGAACTTTCCACAAGCAAAGTAAGAATAATCACACTAGAACATGCTTGTTTTTATTTAAAATTGCTCAAATAGCTTGTGTACAAATTAGATTTCAGTCTAATAGTCTATCATAACTTTGTGAATAAAACTTTTGAGATTCAGAGGAATAATCAATGGCACAGAAGATATTCAAAAGTCTATTTTAAGAGTTAAGCAAGGTGAATACTTGGTAACCTAAAATGATAATCCTGCCCTAATGTTACCTTTCTGTGTATCTGAAATTACAGGTGAAAAAATAGATGGCGATGAAATACACTATTATCTTGTATTGTCATTTCAGGTTTAATTTCTAAGTAGATCCATAGTGAATATCTTATGGTTATTTCGTTTAGTAGTTAGTGCCTCCCTTCCTTCCTACCCCATATATATATGACAAAAAAAATCCTTGGGAAGAATTTGAAGTAACAGTAGCAGCAATTCTGATTTTCGCATGGCCTTTCAATGCAAGAATCATTTCAAATACAGCCAAAACAAGCAAGAACACAAAATCAATTATACATAAAATATTAGTGAATACCCCCCCCCCCCCACACACACACATCCCTCTGTGATTACTGGCTGCAAAGAAAGCAATTGACAACTGTACAAATTTTAATCGAATACTATTTTTCACTACCCCCAGTGTTGTGCTTATAGCCCGGTTTCATTATAGACATCCCTGGCTCTTACAGCAGCAGAGATGAGTGCTTTTTCAATCAATATAGTTTAATCCAGCTACATCATCTCTTTGCTTTCTTTTTCTTCTTTCTGTTCCACTCTTCACTGCTGTCCTCTGCTTCACTGGCAGTTGGGGTGGGTTCTTTTCTTATGATTGTCTTCTCTATCTTGTATTCTTGTTCTCCTACCCTGGGGTTTCCTTTTACAATAAATTCACCATTCTGATACATTATGGAAACATCTGTCTTTGGATATGTGCCATAGACTCTTCTGAGATCATCTTTCACAAAGTCTGGCAAGTCCCTCCTAGGCCCCACAACACGATCAAGCCTACCCCAATGGAGCTCTCCTCTCAGAACAAACCCTTCAGGCCACAGATCCCAGCTTGGTCTCTGGACTGCCATATGAGGATGATGGTTACTGTAAGGCTGGTACAGAGGAAGAGAAGTCACCTGGGGAAAGTGCCAGAAAGGATAAGAGTAAAAAAAAGGACTTGGACCATAGATGTGATGGTACGCCATTTGGTTGGATAAACTGTCATTGTAACCATAGTCCATGATAGCAAGAGGCTTGTAAGTGTTGTGCATCGGAACCTGGGGCAGGAATGCATAAGGAAAATTCTGAAACATGCCAGGATAGTACAGAGCCATACTCATAGATGGTGCACACAGCTTCTTCTTAACCAAGTGCCATTTTTTCATGAAGCATTTCACCTAGGTTCTTTCTTCCACACTGTGAAGATAAAGTAAGAATGCTGAACTTCTTGAAAACATAAATACCGATAGTTCATATCTATTTATCAACTCTAAATATTTAGAAAAATTGCATGTAAAGTATACACATTTTCTAAAATGAAATTTGTTCAGGAGCAACCTTTATAATACGCCTAAAGGGACTTTTTTCCTTACAAATAATGATTTCATAATTAGTGCACTAAACAATTACAGTACTTCAATAGCTTTGAAGTTGTTGAGACAAGTTCTGTGTATCTACTATGGTGTTCTAATAAACAAAAACGAGGAAGCTTTTTATTCACCTGCTCCACCAAGATATGGGGAGTGATGCAAAACGATGTAAAGCAGTACTCAGATTTATATATTGGAAAACACAGGCCTGAGGCTACATTTTAAAATGTACTTGGATTCTTTTTATTTGTTTTTGAAGCCATAATTCTGGGTAGAAGAGAATTTCAACTTTGTCCCAACTGTGATCCAAATTAGTTTGTATGTGCACATATAGGTGGTGTTCCTATTGCACATTAAGCCACAGAGAGTTGTCTTAGAGTTAAGCAACTTTAGCTTCCCAAATAAACTATACTTGGATAAGTTTGCATAAACAGTTGTGATTTAGAACACACAACTGCTGGGTTCACATCAAATGGGAAGTTATGCAGAAGCACCCCACCGAGTAGCTTAATAATACTTGATTCCTGTGCCACAGGACCTCCCATATGTTTTCCCAATTACGTGCCTAAATGGAAAGTAGCTGAAGAGAAAAAAAGCCAGCCACAAGCACTGTGTTTATTTCCAAGAATTGCTGTATAATCTCCTGGGTGCCGTCTTAAAAAATAAAACAGAAAGGGGCAGCATTCTGATAACAAAAAGACAAGATGCTAGCAAACATCCAGAGAGACTAAGCAGAGGGGACACCAGCAACAAACTCAATAGTCATTTCCAAGGAAAGCAAGGCTTTTGATAGTACCAGTGAAACATGTTTTTCCTTATAAGAAACAGACAGGAGGGAGCCTGATTACAACCAGCACAATAGTGAGGGCAAAATTAAAGTCCTCAACATTGTACTATGGTCCCAATGTGCCTCGGTCTCCCCCAACCCTCAGCCATTGCTTATATTAAAAATCAGTTAATATTAATAATAGTAATATTATAAACAATAATAATGTTGCAATAAATGTTACGCTTTGACTATGCAATTCAGACACAGTATTGCATATTTTAATATACCAGGAAATGGCAAATTATCTATGCATCTGCTAAAACAATCATAATCAATTTACTGAAAGCTCTTCCTGACTTCACTTCAGTTACACAGAATTGGGTAAGCCAACTCTCAAGCATATTCTCAGGAATTGCATTTGAAGTAAACAGCAATGGTAACTCTCTCCTAATAGAAATACAAATCGCCACGAAGCTAAAAAGCAGCCAAAATATTATTTTAAAAATCAATGAAGTTGGCTAGCTAAAACATAAGGAAAAATACAACTTTTTACATTTCTTTCTCTTCTCATTTCACTATCTGCAATATCAAGGAGATAAACACCAACTTCCATTGCTAATTTAATATCAGAAATAGACTTTCCTAAAATGAAAAGTCTAAGGTTTCCTATCTTTGGCTGATCAATACTCCCCCCCCCCATTTCACAAGTTCCACTATTAGAATTAGGCTACAGTTATGTGTTTCGCAGTCTGCTTTAGGATTTTAATCTTCACATCAATCTTTACTTTGCATTTTATACCCAACTATGTTTCCCACATAACCTGTGTCTTGAATACCAGATTTCACAGTCTAGAATGGGACACAGATAGAGATTCACATCAGTTTAGCTCTCTTTAAAGGAATAAAAATAGACTCAAATGCCCCGTAAATCTTGCATTAAAAAGCGAAAGCAACATTACCAACCATAGTAGTGCCACAGCAGCAAGTAAGTTCTGCCCAAGCAATACCCAAGAATATGTAAGGAAATGCAATTATCACTGCCACAGCTCCTGCCCACCTAGCAGTTTGAAAGTATGCAATTAGCTAAATAGATACCACTTTGGTGGGAAGGTAATAATGTTCCATGCACCTTGATTTATAGTCATGCTGGCCACATGACCACAGAAGTGTCTTCAGACAACGCTGGCTCCCTCGGCTAGGAAATGGAGATGAGCACCACACCTTAGCATTAGACACGATTGATCAGGGAAAACCTTTACCTTTACTTAAACATGAATAGTTCTCCCTCTCTCTCTCTCTCTCTCTCTTGCTCTCTCAGTTCAGGTTTCAAGTTTTGTTGTCTGGAGAACAGGACAAAGGAATGCATAGCAACCAATAAACTCTAGAAAGCAGGAGAACATTCTTGCAGATATTATCTCAATCTTTTCTTATTGACATTACAGTATTGCACATGTTCTGTTCCTCCTTGCATTTTTAAAGTAACACTGTAGCTTGGATTCTTTCCACAGCAGAATAAGAAGTACTATTGAGATTTATTTAATTCCTTTCTTACCCTATAAAAGAGATTCATTTATCCGATTACTAACTCTTTGTATTACCACATATCTATTTTATCACTCCTATTTATTTTATTTATCCTCCTATTTATTTTATTTTGGAATTAGACTAGCACGTATTATATTTTATTTTATTAATAAGTTTGCAAAACTAATCATTCGATAAACAAGCCATTTTTATATAGTTGAAAAGAAAACAGAGAGAGAGAGAGGGAGAGGGAGAGAGTCCCTCAGGGGAAACTAAGAGAAGCCAAGCATAATCCAACTAAAAGGATTCTTTAATATTTTAGTAATAATATACAATATATTAAATACGATTTAAAAAGTCAAGATAACAGTTGCAATGATGTGATTAAAGTTTCTCATCTTCCTCAGGTGAAACTTCAATTGCATCATCATGGCTACCCTCTTGACTTTAATTTTAAAGATAAAGTTACAAAGCTGAATAAATTCCATTAACAGGGTTAAGAGAGTTTATCAGGAAAAAAAGGTCTTTGGTAATCAAGGCTGTAAACAAGGCTATGAAGTTTGAAGTACGAAAAAGCAAACCTCATGCTTCAAGCCACTGGTGTCACTTAGTTGGGTAATGAAATATCTGCAGGAAAACAACCAAGCTCAGAGAGCATCAAGGATCAAGTATTACTTTATAAATGTGTGATTTTGTCTATTATTTGAAAGTTTTTAAGTTTAACTTTCTCCTACACATGACATTATAGATTTGGGAGCTAATACACTGGGGCCCATTAGTAAGACTATCAAAGGTGTTGCTTTAAAAAAAACGTTATAGCTTCCAACTCTGGTTTGCACAAATCCAAATAAGCAGCCTGTGACAGTAAAAACATAAAAAAAGTAACTTGTGGCCGTTCTAGTTTTTACAGCCCAGGTCTATATATAGATCCAGTTATATTAAACTGAATTACTATTTTTAAATATAAAAATAAATAAATTGTTATATAAACAAAATTTTAAAAATCAAGAAAAATACAGGGAGAGAGAAGCAGGAGGTGTAAATTTTCTCAGGACAACTTCATAAAGGATCAAAGTCTCAGTAGCTACTAATACTGATGATTATTTACTGTCTCATGAATCCTGAGTAGCAAAAGTGAAAAAGGGCTATCACTCCCTTGTCCAGGCTTCTGAGCTTCCAAATATATCCAGTTGGCTGGTATACGATATTGAAAGCTGGACTAGATGAGCTTATGGATGATTCAACAGGACTATTTGTTTATAACTTAAATATGTTACTTTTCTTTAAAAGTGATGGCAAAACAGGATGCAGTAAAACAATGTTATAAGATTTGCTGTCCAACATAAAACTTAAGGACAAATCAACCAAGTTTTTTTCTCTTGTTCATCCTAGTTTGATGGAATGAACACTGGATATTTGTATTACATTTATCCATGATTAATTGAATCAGGGTTTATTCAGTTAACCTTCTGGACTAGATTAATAAAACACATGCTGTATTTTAGCTTATTGCATTGCACAAAATCCACACCGGTAATTCAAATAGCATGTTTTGTTTTGGTTTCTTCAGGTCACTCTTGACTCCTAGCAACTGCCTAGACTAGTCCCTGCTGTTTTCTTGGCAAGATTTTCAGAAATGCTTTGCTATTGCCTTCTTTCCGCCTAGTGTGTATGACTGATCCAAGGTTACATAATTGGCTTTCTGCCTAGGGCAGGACTAGAACTCTACCCTGGTGCCTTAAATTGGTTCTCATAGCATGCTTATCCATATTCCGTCAGACTATGGTTTATCAGTTAAACCAATTTTCTACATTCTCACATTTTACAGTTCCACAAACTAGCTGCACAGGATAAATTTGCATATTTCAGGTTAAAATGTAGTTGGCTTGGTATTGTTGTTCAATATACTCTTTGCTAACCTTTAGATAACATACTGTACAGAATTTATGGAGTTAACATAATTGTAAAAATTTCTACATTACATTGAACCATAAACCATAACCATATTGGTCAAGTTCTCACAACATAGCATTTGGCTAGCAAACCGCAAGTCCACAATAGACTAGTCATCCTGCTATTTCATAAATAATTTTATGTAATCTTAGTAATCAGCAGAGACATATAAGATATACCCTAGTACACTATACCTCAAGTGTACCTAGTACCCTTCAACAAGAGTTGAACCTTTAGCTGTTTTCAACAACAAGAACAACAACAAAAAAACTAATAAGAAATGTTAGAAAAACAAAGCAAATTAGACAATGGATATCCCCCATTGTCAGAAGTTATGCTAGTTAAAGATTGTGAGAATTACAGTTTACCATATCTGGAGACCATTCAGCTGGAGGATGGTTATTGTTTACTTAACAGGCTGGAAAGCCTCACTAGCATTTTAAATTCAGTAATACACTCAACAACAATCAAACACCATCTCCCAAGTACTGCTTATATAAGTATTAGTCAAGAATTAGAACTGCCCTACTATTATAAAAATAACATATTACAGAAAGCATTTGTAAATGTTTAGTAAAACTACCAATTATCATATTTGCTATATCACAACTTTAAAAATGTATCACTATTAAATATTGATTACCTTTTAGGACTTTGAATCCAACCCTATTCTTCTACCTAAAAACAAAACATGGTTATCAAACAATCTTACACTAACCAGTCTTACTTGCAACTCTCTCTTTCCACACACTTATTACTTTCAGCTCATTGCTCCTCATTAACTCATTTTATCAAACCCAGGCAACACCTGGGGCAATAATTAGCCATCATTCATTCTTTGTTAGGCAAAGGAAATCCTAATACAAATCCATTTCAGGAGGAATTCTATCATTAGGCCCAGATGGTCTATTATTTGGAATTATCTTTAGGAATCAATTTCCTTCCAACTTTACACTTGTTTGAAAAATTTTCAAAATTAATGACGCCAAAACTAGGAAATAACCTTTTTTCCTCAAAGGAAAATTTGAAAAAAGAGATGATGATAGAAGATGTGTTATGCTGTTTGATGTTAGCTGTAAAGCAGTGTTTCCAAGCCTTGGGCATTTTTTGGACTTCAGCTCCCAGAATTCCACTGCCAGCATGGCTATTGATAAGAATCTGGCAGTTTCTATTACTTGGAAGTGGGCAAGGTTGAAAAACACTGCAGTAAAGTGTAAACCCAGAGAACAGGTTAGCATTGTGGCTATATTATCATCATAGGTTAATTGAGCTGTGTGTGATGGGCCTTATTATTAAGAGCCCACATAACTCTAATTATAGTTCATGGTTTAAGATATGTATCATGTGACTGTGGAACACCATTTCTGATTAGCATCAATGACATTTGAAACAATGACTAATTAATTTCGGCTCATCTCAATTATCCATGGCCCTAATTTTGTTTCAGTCCTTTTACTGTTTAAATGTTTATTATGTAATTGTTTTTGTCTGCTGGATTGACTTTTTATAATGTAGCAATATAAAATGTTGTGAATAAGAAAAAAGATAAACAAGTTACAATCATAGAGTTGGAATCACATGGTAGAAGAAAATGACAGCACACACACATGTACAGTATTCACATCCTCTGGGGCCCCAGGATATATCCAGAACTACCTTGCGAAGTACAATTCTGCTCATCTGCTCCAATTATCTAGAGATGACTTTTTGAGAGATCTGCAGGTGGTATGGACTAGGCGTTGGGCCTTAACTGTAGTGGTCCCTGTGCTTTGGAATTTACTCCCTCTGAAAATAGATTTTGTCCCAAGTCACTTTTTCTTCTAAAGAACCATGAAGACTGTTTATTTCAATGGGCCTTTGACCCATGGAATCAGGGGTAAAATTCGACCGGATAGGACTGGATCACGCGTACCGGTAATGGCGATTTTAAATGATTCGCCAAACCAGTAAAAACCACCCCTGGTTGGCCCCTCCCCCACCTACCCACCCGCCCGGACGCTTGCCTGCCTTTGCTAGCTGGCCACGGGGACATGTGATGAGCATGTGCAGCCCCGGGACATACGTCCTCCAGCCCGGAGTGCTGCTGCCGCCCCGGAGCTCGCCTTGCCTCTGCAGCCCACCGGCCCCTTGGGGCAGAGCAAATACCGCTTTTGCCCTTCTCTATCTAGGCACAGCGCTTCTGCTTGTTGGGCCGCTTCCCTGAGGCTGGCAGCTCCGGGGCCAGCTGCTTTGCTTTTTCCCACTTTTTGGGAGGCTCGCAGGAGGCTTGCGCAGCGGCACCAGCACTGGCATGAGGGAGGCAGGCAATCCAGATGCCCCACGCTGGTGCTTGTTTGGTGCAGCTGCAGGCAAGCCAAGAGACAGTGGGACGAAGGGGCTGATGCATTGGGATCGCCTCTGCCTCCCCCATGCCTCTGCCTTCACCTTCTGCTGGTGCCACCACGCAAGCCTCCCATGAGGAAAAAGAGGGAAAAACCAAAGCGGCTGGCTGCAGAGCTGCCAACTTTGGGACATGGCCCAACAGGCAGAAGCGCCACGCTCAGAAAGAGACGGGTGAAAGTCATTCTGCTCTGAAGCAGAGGCATCCCGAGCCTTCAGCGTATCCCCGGATTGCAACGCTGAAGGCTCGGAATGGAGCCGTTTTCATGAAAGGCAGGAAAATGGGGAAGGGGATTTTTCTGCCTGTCATCCACTCCTGACGCTCAGCACAGACTGAAGGAAGGATGGTAGGCAGGAAAATTCCCCTCCCCATTTTTCTGCCATTCGCGAC